CTTGTACCCCTCTAATCTGAATTAAGAGGTCAATGAGGACTCTCTAGCCACAACACATACAAAAAACTTTCTCAGATGGATTTGTAGCTGGGAATGAAACTGAGGAATCAAGAAGAACTGGAGATCATTAAAAAATTAGACAAGTAGAATTTATCTTTCTATATTCAGAGACTCAGTTGTGCAACCTGGAAATAGGTATCCTTTCTCCACATGCAGAATTCATGCCAATTCTTCTTCCTGTAATCTTTCTCTCTCTTGCTTTGTCTCATATTGGAATATTTTCCTCCTACTTAAGGGATATCTGTCACACATCCAGTACTGCCATGTGTGTGTAATCACTTCATTTAAAACATCAAAGGAACCCCTCCATTATGACATGGGGCTCAATCCTTTATTAGGTTCCATGGGTGGAGTGCTCAGGAGTTCCTGGGTAAGTCCGGGATTGAGCCACTGAAACTTAAACAGATTTAGGTAAACTCTGTGGGTATCTTCTCTATAGGGTACACAAGGGGAATTTCTAGGATGCCAGGGGAGGTGGTGGTTCAGAAGGGCAGTGGTTGAGGTGTCCTATCAGAAGTTACCTTTTTTAAAAAATATTTTATTTATTTGACAGACAGCGAGAGAGGGAACACAAGCAGGGGGAGTGGGAGAGGGAGAAGTAGGCTCCCCCTGAGCAGGGAGCCTGATGCGGGGCTCGATCCCAGGACCCTGGGATCATGACCTGAGCTGAAGGCAGATGCTTAACGACTAAGCCCACCCAGGCGCCCCATCAGAAGTTATATTAATGTGTGCCTCTGTAGGGTGTTGTTTAGAGAATGCACTAGTGAGAGGGGCTGGTGTCAGTTCAAGTCCCCTGCCAACCAACTGACTACACAAAATGGCTGCCAAGTAGCACCATCATGGAGAAGTTTGCCTACAGTCCCCTATAAAATCTACAATATATCCATGTTGATGTCCCAGGAGTTAAAAGGAGGAGAAAATGATGCAATAGATAAACTCTCGGAAATATAACCACACATTATTTAAAGTCTGAGGCCACAGAGAAAATGGATTACTAGTTATATTACATCGTTATCAAATGGGTGGTAGATACCATTTGTTGTCTACATTCTTAAATAAGGTGAAGTAGGTTAATATTGGTGGCAGGATAATACATCATTCATTACCTATCACTGTTAACACATTAAAAACCAATATGTTCTATTATTAAAATATCTTAGGATCACACATAGACTAAGTTATGCATTTCAAATCCACTGTATGATCCTTTTTTTTTCCTCTTTTTTAATTTTTTTTTTAAAGATTTTATTTATTTATTTGACGGAGAGAGACACAGCGAGAGAGGGAACACAAGCAGGGGGAGTGAGAGAGGGAGAAGCAGGCTTCCCGTGGAGCAGGGAGCCCGATGCGGGCTCGATCCCAGGACCCTGGGATCATGACCTGAGCCGAAGGCAGACGCTTAACGACTGAGCCACCCAGGCGCCCCACACTGTGTGATCCTTGTTGAAAATACAGATTACAATCATTCAAGAAACATTCTTGTTCTGATATAATGACCTAGGAGTCATAATTTCAATAATTTTCAGGCCTGAAGTAATTGTTAAGAAATGTTGATGTACAATCCTATGCCCTGTTAGGGAGACGTTAGCTATCCTCTACTGATATCTGGGAAGTTTTCTTCATTTCAACCACAGCAACTAATATTCTGTACGTCTGTCTATTGCTATTGTAAAGATACGTCAGTATTTTAATGGCTTGCCACCACTTTTTTTTTTTTACTTTTTTAAGATTTTAATTCCAGTTAACAAAAAGTGTTATATTAGTTTCAGCTGTACAATATAATGGTTAAACAATTCCATACATTATCAAGCGGTTATCACAACAAGTGCAGTCCTTCATTCCCAAAACCTATTTAAGCCTTCTCCCCACCCCCCTTCCCTCTGGTAACCATTGGTTTGTTTTTTATTGAGTCTGTTTCTTGATTTCTCTCTCTCTCTGTCTCCACTTAAGAATTGATTAAATTCCTCATGGAGAGGTAGACTATGGTCACACTAAAGAGTCTTCTCATTGCTCATTATAATAATATTCTAAGTGTTTTCTCTTTTGCTTTGTTCTCTCCTATTGCTGAGATGTGTACAAGCAGTTCCTGACTCCTTCACCCAGCCTACAGATCATACTGACTACTCAAAACAGATTTCACCGCGGTGTCCCCTCTGGACTCTATAACAATGGCCTTCTGGAATAGTTACACGTAGGGACAGATAGAGACCAATTTCAGTGCATGGGACATCTCTACAACCCCTGTCACCTTGAAGAAGTTACAGAATATGAGCCCTTCACCCTTCAACAACCTTAATGATTTAAGAACTGATCATTGGTCAGGGATAAGGTGATGAGGGAAAGAAACAGAAAAATGTTCACCTTTAACTAAAGATTGACCTATAGCCTGCATAATTTTGATAAGGATTGAATATGGGCTGGTTGGTACATTCTTACAGGGTCTCATGACTGCATAGTTAATATCAAACTGAATGATAAGCACCAGAGTAATTTTGCAAAATTGGAAATGAATATGAGCTTTAATCAGTTCGGTAGAAGTCTTGTCCAAAAACCAACTCCATGGTTTCAGCCTGGCCCAAGATTTTTTAAGGGAACTTGAGGCCAGTAATTCGTAAAAGAGGAGAATGGTAGTTTGTCACACTTCTTGGTGCCTGCAGACTCAGCTACAGACGCTATTGTGGTTCTTGGAGGGGATGCATTGGTGCCCCAGGGGAGGTTATGCAAGAGGATTCTGCTCCAAGTCTTTCTAGGAAACAAAGCATGACCTATAGATACACAAAGAGGTTTGGTTTATCAATCACACAGGCTAAAGGTACATGCTAAAATTTAAAGACTACTAAGTTGGGCAAAGGGGCACGGGCAGGGCTTCTATGTAACTTAAAAAAAAGGTCCCCTAGGTTTACTCTGTTGCTGCAAATGGAAGGATTTCCTTCTTTTGTGAGGTTGCTTATATACGAAGAATGAATTAGATGGCAGAACTCTATCAGTAGTATCAGATGTTAACTTTTTGTATTATGAAGAGTTGCCTGCCTGGTGTTGCAAACTATCGTTTGACAAAATTTGCTCTTTCCTTTTTCCTGTGAATATGCTTACCCCCTTTTGAAATTCTAAATCCTTACACTCAAGAATTCTTAAGTCACCGTAGCATGTAAGCATCAATTTCCTGTGGTTGAGCCTCATATCTTTGAGGTTCCCATAATTAAGAAATTATTTTTTTTTTCCTCTTGTGAATCTGTCTTACATCAGTTTAGTTATTAGACCGGCCAAAGAACTGAGAACAGATGAGGGAAATGTTTTCCTCTCCTACACATTCATTCTGTTGTCCAGAACTGACCTCCGTGCTTCAGAGCCAAACTTGAAGACAGAGTTGGGGGGTCAAGAAGAACAGTAGCTTTATAGTTCTGCTGGACAGAGGAGGCTGGTGGAAGTTGAGGCCTTCAGAAGAACGAGCTCACCCGGTAGCAGGGGCTGAGGGTTTTGTAGGGTTATACAGGATCTGGCCTGTTTGAACAGGAATTGGGTCTGCGCTGCCAGCCTTGTTCAGGCTTTCCGAGTGGTCCTGGATTCCTGAAAACAGAAAACAAAGGCTAAGAAGCGGGGAGGGGGTAGTTTGGGGAACAGAGGGAAAAAGATACTTTATACCCTCAAGCCTCACTGCTGTTTCAATGCAGCCATTTGATTTTTGTTCAACTTCTCTCAAGCGGTTTCAGTTTGAGTCACCAGGGCAACTGAAGTAAGAGCACTTCAAATTTTAAGTCTGAAACCACTCATTATTTTCTAGAATTCCAAAAATAAAGAAGAATAACAGCGTTTTAGTGGAAATTTTGAGGAATTAGAATTCTCATATATTGCTGATGGGGAAGTAGAAAGTACATTCATTTTGGAAAACTGTTTTGCAATTACTTATGAAAACATTTATACCTACCGAGGGGGAGCATGTTCTTAGCACAAAATATGTCTCTTTGTTTAAGGGTTATTCTAAGCCGGCTAGTGTGTGTGTGTGTTTGGGGGGGGGTGGTTTGAGGTAGAGAAAGCGTGAGTGAGCATGCGCGCGCGAGCGGGGAAGGGGGAAGGGGGGCGCAGTGACAGAATCTTAAGCAGGCTCCTTTGCTCAGTGGATGCTGACCTCCTGACACTGAGATCGCGACCTGAGGTGAATTCAGGAGTCACATGCTCAGCCTCCTGAGCCGCCCCTGCGCCCCTCCACTTGTTATTTTAAAGAAACGGCAGACAAAGGAAAAGCCCTGAAACACAGTATGTTTACTTTTGTAAGAGATACTTGCATTTATAAGGGAAAGCTCCATTTGTAAGGGTGCCTCCCTCTGTGTAGCAGGAAGAGGGAGAATGTATAAATCTCCAGAAACTCTGATGAGTGGGAAAAGCATCGATTTAAATCTGGTTAGCAACCACAGCCTTGGATACTGTGCTTTGCCTGGTCACCTCCCCAAGTGCTTCCCAATGGGATAACAGCGTGAAGTTCCCAAAATGATCCTTGCTGGTGCCCTCCCCCTCAGATTCTGTCAACTGGTGAAAACAACAGTGTTGTGTTAATTAAGGGCTCGAGGTGATTCTATGTGAGGCCAGGGTTAAGCACAAGGGCTTTCCGTTATTTTATGAGAATTGAGAGCAGGGTTTGCCTCAAGAAGAGGAAACAGGGTCTCTGCTACATGAGTCCGGGAGGGTCAGGTCCCTGGAGCACAGGTTTCCTAGGCTGTAGCTGAATTTGTGGGCATCTGTGGGAGGGGAGGCCCCCTGGAAGCGGAGGAGGAAAAGTCAGGGATTGGTCTCCAAGTAGGAGCTCGTGGTTTCTGAAAGGCTCCTGACACAAAGGACTAGGAAGTTGGGCCTTTTCTGCATTTCAAAGTCCTGCCTTCAGGCCGAGCAGTTTAGAGGTGCAGAGGCTCTGTTGGTGGCTTTAAAGGCATTTTCTCCTGATGCAGCTGTGATTTCTCCATGAATCTCTTCTGACAAAGAAATCTAGAGGAGAAGGTGAAAGAAGAAGAAATGGCCAGTTCTCAGGTAAGCCTTGCATCTGAGGTCAGAGGCCTTCTCATCTTTTTCTCCTGAAATTCCTTGCATTTAGAAATTGCAAATGTTGATTCCTGTATTTCTGATAATTCCGCTTTGTGTTTTCACCTAATTTTTGAAACCTTTTCAAAAATGATACTGAAAGTTAAGTCTTTAGAACAATTCTTCCCTATATCCCAGAGCCTTCTCTCCCTTCTCTCCAACCTGGCTTCCAATAGTCCATCAACAATTGTCACTTTGAATTAAAGTCCTGCAAGTACTGAAAATATTCCCTTTGTGGCTGATTCACAGGGGAAGTCTTTGAGTTCCAGATTCCTGTTGCTGATGGGGTCGGGTCCTGGGATATCAGTAAAGGAAAGCAGTTCTTATTTAGGTCCCATCTGGATGCTTTTTCAGCTTTCTGTAGACCAGGAGTCAGAAAATGCATAAATCAACATGATGGATAGGAGGCTCAGAAGAACTGGGAAAGTTCTCAGGGGAGAAAGAGGTGGGGTGGAGGGGAAGGGGGGCGGATTCATGTTCTTTAGATTGTGAAAAAAATACTTAAAATATAATAGATATTACAGGACTTGGAAACTGTGTGATTGAACTTTGTATAAATGCACTGTATTCTCATAATTCAGTTTATATTCTGATTTAATGTTTGATGACCACAAGAACATACCAGTAATAATAGGTCCTTTGGTGTGCTTTAGGCACTGGTATCAATTTGTTTCCTTAGAGCTCATGTTACCTTCTTTTTTTTAAGATTTTATTTATTTGAGAGAGAGAGACCAGAGAGCACGAGCAGGGAGGAGGGGCAGAGGGAGAAGCAGGCTCCCTGCTGAGCAGGGACCTGGATTCGGCGCGTAATCCCGGGAGCCTGGGATTGTGTCCTGAGTGGAAGACAGATGCTTAACTAACTGAGCCACCCAAGGGCCCTCATGTTACCTTCTTTTACTTGGGCTGGTCCACTCTGACAGATTTCTCCCCTATAAAGTTCATATTTTCTCCCTTAGTATTCATAAGTGTTGGGGCGCCTGGGTGGCTCAGTCGTTAAGCGTCTGCCTTCGGCTCAGCTCATGATCCCAGGGTCCTGGGATCGAGCCTCGCATTGGGCTCCCTGCTCCGCGGGAAGCCTGCTTCTCCCTCTCCCACTGCCCCTGCTTGTGTTCCCTCTCTCGCTGTGTCTCTCTCTGTCAAAGAAATAAATAAAATCTTTAAAAAAAAAATCGTAAGTATCTTAGATGGATTTACTGAGCCATGTGCAGAAACCATCACATTTAAAGTGGAAACTTCTTTCTTCTGAATTTCTCTTGCTTCTAGTTTCTTTTGAGGAGAACAAAGGTAAAAGAAATGTAGATAAACTGAAATTCAACTTCCAGACCCTTGGTAAATACTTGAGACTGGCAGAGTATGACATTCCATCAGGAATTCACAACTGCCTTAATGTTAATGCTTCGCTAGAGGCAAAAAGCAACCAGCTTGACAATAGCCAGACCTCCAGGATCCTGTAAGTCCTCTTTAACATATGAAAATCCCTGCAGAAACTTCCTTTATTTCTATCCCCCAACTTAAAACTATTTTATCAATGGCTTCTCGCAAGGACAGTGTAGGTCTTTCTGCCTAGGGGTCCTGTCCCTGGACTTTAATAAAAACAGCTTTTTGCACCAAAAACGTCTCAAGAATACTTTCTTGACCCTTCACATCACTTTCCACTGGACAATGAAGGCTCTCACCTTTGTGTAGCAGAGATAATGATTTCTAGGACTGGAGGTTCTAAGACCTCCATCTTGTAGGTTTTTATTTTACTGCACACTTAGGTCACAGAGCTACCGTTTTATTTACCTCTTTGTATTTTCAGAAAAGAACAAAAAAAAAAAAACAAGAACCACTTACTTAACATGTTTGAGTGTCTTAAAATCCCGAAATATAATAGAGTCACAGATAGAAATTATACCAGGTAGGCTTGTGACGCAAAGGAAACTTGATTTGCGGCCAATAAGGAGATCACAGAGAATAGCTTCCAAAGCAGAGACTCCCAGAGCCAGGGAGAATGGTTTCCTTTTATTTAGGGTTCAGGTGGAAATTTAAAAAGAGGGGCTTCATCATCTTGTGTAGAGCTGGGCATAAGGTCATAAAGGTACCTGAAGACAACACTTCCATACATACTTTGTATGTTATGTAAGTGAGGTTTGTGCTTATCCTAGGACAGAGATTTTCATATTACAATGAGGTAAAAGTACCATGGGTTACTCTTTGGTCCATCTACACAGGTGAGTCAAGGGTTAAGCTCAACCTGGGCTGGCCCAGTTTCATCCTTTGGGCCATCATTACCTTTAGTTGGATAGTTTCTGTTCCTTGACAGGAGACTAGACCATGGGGTCTTTGCCTGGAGTAAAAGATAAGGTGAATAGAAGAGGTTAAGTAAAATGTGGGACAAAGGTCGGAGGGTACAAGCAGGTAACTGGGGAAGGTCAGGTCTTGGGTCTAGCTGGTGACATTAACTCCCTCTTTCGTCTTAGGGACCATTGTGAACTCTGCCAATGGCCACTTGGTAACTGTGGTATTTATTGCAGGGACTGCTGACATTCAGGGATGTGGCCATAGAGTTCTCCCAGGAGGAGTGGGGATGCCTGAACCACACTCAGCGGGAACTGTACAGGGATGTGATGTTAGAGAACTACGGACACCTCCTCTTCCTGGGTGAGGATGACTCCTTCCAGATTTCCCAAACCACACTCAGGGTTTTGCTCCTTCCTTTGAAGACTGTCTCTTGAAAGATTCCTCTTTGAATGTTGAGAATTCAGATGCAGGCCATAAGGGAAATAAGTAGGGGTTTGTAGATGTAGAGAAAAATCTTCGTGGTGTTTCCTTTTCAGCTTTAGCTTCCGTTTCTTAAGAGAACATCATCACTAAACCGCCCCCCCCGTCAAAAAAAGAGAGAACATCATCACTTCTGTAGATAAGTGCCAGTTGTAAACAGTGAGTGGCAAAAAAATGGTACTGCCTACATCTTAAACTGAAATTTTAAGTCCTTATTATTGTATTGATAGTCCTTGAAAGGGGAGGTCATGATGTGAAAATTTGAAAATTCTCCTACATGTTTAACGGGGCTGTTGGTCAACAGTGTTTGGGAAATCATTTTCTAGAATTCTACAATGTCCTCTAGTGGATTGAAAGTTAGAATCTCCAGCAGTACTACTATTCATTTTTTCCAATAAACAGGTCTTATTGTGTGGAAGCCAGACCTGGTCATCTTTTTGGAGCAAGAGAAGCAGCTCTGGGATGTGAAGAGAAAGGAGACAGTAGCCTTCCATCCAGGTAGGTGGGAATGAATGTAGCAGATGACAGAGGTGAGGTCCAAATGTGAAGGAGGAAGACAGACCTTAAAATGTGGTTCAAGTAGCTCTCCTTGAATGGAAATTAGTTTTGGAAGCATAGTTGAATTTCTACCCCTCTCACAGAGGGACATCCGCTATCCAACATTATCAAGCTCTTACATTTTCTAAGGATTCTCCTTCAGCTCCAGTGATGGTCCATCACATCCACAGGGAGGGCCCAGGGGACTCTCCTGGGAGTGGGAGGGCCTCCATAATCTGAGAGCTTCTCCATTGTTGTGAGGGCCCTGGGAAAATCATCCTATTTCTGAGGAACTCTATGCTAAGTCCTTTTTAAGTTCTGTTTTTCATCATGGGAGAAGTGTGTCAGGGTGGTTGTAAGCACATCGTGGTTTGGTGCAGAAATCCTGGGAACACTGGAGACAAATATCACATGTTTTCTGGTTTATGTTTTCCTATGTTATGGTGGCTTTAATCTTAATTGTACAAAATTGAGAATCAGTAATTTAATCAGGTAACAAAATACCTCCCTAGAATGAGAAAATCTAATCCTTTATTTCACTTAAAAGTTCATTTTTCTTTGTATTAAATATTATTAGAAATTTCCACCCTATGTGTCCCATTCCTCAGTGGTGAAATAATTAAAGGTATCTGTTTCCTGGAATTCCTACCTAAATAATGCCATAGGGGAGCTAGAATATTTAGAATTCAGAATTGTCAGCCTGTAATAAAGTCTCAGTTGTCACTTTATTAATAATTGAATCATTTTATAATTTTGCATGGTATGAAGTTGCTGTGACTTTGCCATGTGTGTTCTCACCTTCTTATTATACATGATATTCATCTTTGATTTTTTTTTATATCAAAAATGGTGATATGACATGGGCATTTGCTTATAGAAAGTAAGGGAATCAGTAAAATTCCCATATTAAAAAAAAGTTTTGCTTATAAATTTAATTTTACATCTGGAAAAATTAACCATTAGGCTTTTCTTCTACTTTCCTCAGAACGTATCTGAATTTAATCCCAAATATTTATTTTTTACAGAGTCATTGCTGGCATATTTTAAAATTATGATGGTATTTCTTTATTTCAAAATGAAGGGTTTTTGGGGGGTACTTGATTCTTATTTTTCTCTCTTTTTTAAAGATATATTTCTGAGGCAGAGAGAGAGAGTGCATGAGCTCTTTCGGGGTGAGGGGCAGAGGGAGAGGGAGAGGGAGAAGGAAAGGGAGAGAATCCCAAGCAGACTACCTGCTGAGCGTGGACACCGTTGAGGGACTCTGTTCCACAATGCTGAGATCATGACCTGAGCCAAAATCAAGAGTCAGATGCTAAACCAACTGAGCCATGCAGGTGCCCCATGGTGCTTGGTTCTAAAGGAGGCCTTATATTCTGTGTACAGGAGGGATATATTAATGATAATACATTTTCCAATGTCTTTTAAGTGCTTATTCATAAAATTTTCCATTAGAACTTCTCATGGTAGATTTTAATATATATTCTTTACTATTTTACTATCAATAAATGCATGCCAATAATTCAGAATGCTTAGTTTTCATGGGTACACAGTCTCATTTTAAAGTTATAGTTCTATAAAAGGTTTCCTTTTAAAAAAATCCATTTTTTTCCTAAAGATTTTATTTATTAGGGAGAAAGCACGCAGAAGTGGGTTGGGGGAGTGGGGCAGAGGGAGAGAAACAAGCATACTTCCCCCTGAGCAGGGGCCTCACACTGCGCTCCATCCCAGGACCCCGAGATCATGAGCTGAGTTGAAGTTAAACGCTAAACAGCCTGACCCACCCAGGCACCCCAGAATTCATCTGTATGTGGAATTCTTCGGGTTAAATTTTGTCTTATTCTGGTTTTATAATTCCATAATAATGTGCTTCCTTTTGTATGGGACCTTTCACAACATTATTTAGTTACTGTGTATTTTATTATAGGATGACAATTTTCACCTCAGTAGATTTCAGGACAGTGTGAATTTAACTCAAGTATCAATCAGCTCTTTAGCCTCTCCAGTGTTTGAACAAATGCTCACCTTTTGTCTGAGCCGCCACCATAATGCGTCCAAAGGGTGCTCTCATTCCTTCTGCCTCTGTGGCATACATGACAGAAACAGTTTCCTCAGGCAGCATCTGCACAGCCAGATCATTGAGCGTACAGGTCACTCATTTGATCCTCTCTGAGGAGAGGTAAGAGTTTTCTCACACTGTTTCTGTCGAGTGTCAGGGAGGGTGAGCCGCTGTTGTGGGCAAGTGTGACAAACGTTTCTTGTCTCTTCGATGAGCCTCTTCTTCCTTTGCACTTCTCTGGGGGTGCTGTGTTCTAAGTGGCTTCTGAAGCACTCTAAAAGGTAATTTGGTCCATTTTTGTCTCCATGGTGGAGCAAAGTCCTGATGCTTCCTATTTCTGCATTCTGCTGATGTGCAATGATTAGTATTAAGTTTGCACATTAGCATTTTAATATATATGCATGTGAGTATAGTGAGTGTGATAACTTATTTTGTATCTTTTAGTTGTGTCTTTCCATAATACCCAAAGGCCTGTTGGCAAAGACAGGGAAAGAAGATTCACTTTTTTTTAGAGTGATATAAAATGTTGAAGCAGTGGCCCTGAGTATTTATACTTAATAAATGACTGGGAAGGTGACAGAGGGTAGTGAAGGGCAGGCAGGAAGGATGTTATGTTGGATATAACCCAAGTGGGACAGTTACCATAATGAAATCCTTCCCACCAGAAGAGATGAGGCATAGAACACATTCAGGGAAAATCCCCACTGTAAGTCAGTTATATTTGCAGAACAATGTCTTTGAACCCAGGGAATATAATGCATTTTTTCAACATACATATTCTCTGGAATATGAAAATTCTGGAAAGTCACCTAGTCTGTGCTGAAAGTTTCATTCAAACCATTTCAAATATAACATTCGTTTAATCGTCCACTGATGCATTTCTGAATGTTAGACATTTAAAAATAAAGATAAAAATTCCTAATGTGATTGATTTGAGAAGTCCTTTTCAGAGGGTTCATTCTCCCACCGACACATAATCCTTCCTTGTTGCACACTCTCTAAATTTGATAAACACAGGAGAGTCTTTATCCAAACATCACTGTGGAATACTTAACCACAGAATACTTAATTTGGAGCAAGTTTTCATGTGTTGTGAACTTAGGAAGGCCTTTTGTGAGGACTGTATTTTCCATAATTACCATGTTGTTTATAAAGGAGACAAAACTTGCCAATATAATGAATCTGGGGAAAATGTCAATCAAGGGTCAAATCCTAATAAACATCAGAGAATACAGTTTCCAGAGAACCAATATTAGAATAATAAATGTGGGAAAGTCTTTTATGAAAGCTCAAATCTTATTGTATATTACTGTATCTTTACTGACGTGAAGACTGAAAAAGGTAGTAAGTGTGGCAAACCTTTTAACTAGTCTTCGAGACTCAGTAGCAGACATTTCATAATGGGAAGAAATATTACAAATGTAAACAATGTGGTAAAGACCTTAACTGCCACTCAAAACTTAATATGAGGTAAAATACAGTGGGGAGAATGCCGACAAATGTAAAAAAAAAAAAAAAAGTGGCAAAGTCTTTAAGCAGAACTACAAACTTGCTGAATATCAGAGAGTGCGTCATGTATGAAACCCTACAAATGTAAGAAATGTGATAAAGCATTTCATTCATAATCAAAAGTATTCAACAGGAGATAATACATCCTGGGGCGATACCTTAAAATTGTCAAGAATAGTGGTAACGTCTTTACCTGGAACTGAACCCTTACTCAATATCAGATAAAGCATACTAGATAGAAACCTTTGTGTAATGGCTGATGAATGACCTTTGTTTTTAATATACAGTATGGAAAGAAAGAGTCTTTATAAAGGATAAAAATATTAAAGATGTAAACAATTGGCTAAGTATGTGCAATAGAAAGGCAAATCTAAATCAGAGAATTAATAACAATAAGTTATTAATAAGTCAGTGCCATTTTCAGACATGACTCTAAATCCGAGTATTTATTACAGAGAAAAATCCAAATTTAAATGACCTAGATCAATCACAGTGTAGCCTTGGACAGGGCAGGCATGAGGGGCACCAACCCCCTCCAGAACTGAAAATCTGTGTGTAATTTTGTTGAGTCCCCAAAACTTAAAACCATTCCTACTTTACCATGGAAATACCGTATTGTTGAAACCTTACCTAGAACATTAACAGTTAATCATCCCCCTCTTTTTATGTTGTCTGTATTCTATACAGTATTTTTATAATAAAGTCAGGTGGAGAAAAAATATTAAGGAGTGTGTAACGAAGAGAAAACATGTTTATAGTACTACATGATATTTACAAAAAAGAAAAAAAATCTTTGTGTAAGTAGACCCATGCTTTTTAAACCCTTGTTATTCAATGGTCAACTGTATTTGTTAATAAACCTGAAAGGATCAAGGTGGGATGGATGTTTGGAGAGGGATAATTAATTTCACTGTGTCTCTCTTTTTCTTTTGACCATATTTCAGTTATTTTCAATAGCAAATATTAATTTTACTCTGAAATAATCTCATGCTAAGCCTTTATTGCTTGTGTGCATGCAAAATAATATTGTTGCTGTCTCAGAGGCTCTTGTATGATAGTGAATTCATACCTACTTTTCCATGTGAGATTAAAGACACAATAAGCGTTTGCCTTTGGCTCAGGTCATCACCTCGGGGTCCTAGGATCCAGCCCCATATCGCATTTGGCTCCCTGCTCAGGGGAGAATCTGTTTCTCCTTCTCTCTCTGCCCACCCCCCACCTCATGCTCTCTCTCTCTCTCTCTCTCTCTCTCTCTCTCTCTCTCTCTCGGATGGGTGCGCTTGCGTGTGCACTCTCTCTCACAAGTATATAAATAAAATCTTTTAAAAAAATAAAGACACTGTAATGTACAACGTGTGACGAAAGTCCACATGGAAATGCTGTTTGTGGTTGCGTA